GTACCTTTGTACCTTGCTCTGTGTCCTTGTTGTCTTGGCACTAGGCAACGTCTATCCTCGATGTCCTGGCACTAGGCAGCATCTCTCCTCGATGTTCTGGCACTAGGCAACATCTCTCCTGAGTGCCATCGGTTGTCCCAGGGGCCGCCCTGCGGTCCCTGTGTGGGGTATTATGCCTGGGGCGTAACATCTATCCCATTACTCTTGTCGAAAGATCTTGATCCTGAGCCATGTTTTGATGAGAGAGCTTTAAAGGCCCTTCCGTGGTTTCTTTCCTATTAGCTGATGGTCTAAAGCACCAATTCCTCTTGTTCAGAAAGTCTCTATTATGATTCTTGATCCACTCATCATAATAATTAAGTGTATTTAGTTTCTTCTTGTGCTGTTTTTCTACGTTTCTTTTCTCTCTGAATATTCTAGACAGCGGCTTTGTCGTTTTTCGCGGCCCAGTTTTGCTTTATTTGTGGTGATATGATGTTCTTACTGTCAGTCTAATAACACCCACTATCCGTGGATGTCACACGGCATTCCATGACTGAATCGCTCAAAGTGTGCCAGGTCAGCAAAGAGGACAACAAGCAAGCCAAGAAGCCTCAGGAAGCCTACCAATATAGTAGGGTTCCCATGGGCGACCGACTCCTGCACGTCCAGGTGCCCGAAGTACTGCATCTTGAAGGATGGTTGGTCAGGGAGGTCGGCGACACGGGATGGATCTGCATGAAGGAAGCAGTAGGACCTCTGAGTCAGAAGACCTGTATTCTTAGCAATCATGACCAAGCCCAAAGGAGGCCTCTGGTCGAGTAAAGAACCCAGGAGACAGTGGAAGCCACGGAGGGCTTCTACGGGCATAAGTAGGCCTTGATCTTCCAGTTCAGATTGTAGGAAGGCAAGGACCTTTGAGGCCATAACAGATTATTACATTGATTTGAATACGAGCCCTATTCCAAGCCCTTACCTTCAAGCCCTTGTCATATCTCGTCGAGAACAACCCCCAAATTACTGACCTTTACCAAGTGTCGATAGATCCACATGGGGTTATGGATGGCGAGATGGTTGCCGGTTTGAATCAAGATGGATCCTCAGCAGCATCCAGTACCTTTCGTTTACTATGAAAATATAGTTCCACTTACTGGCCGGCACCGGGGATTATCTAGCCCCTCCCTGTTTGCCATTATCGAGGGGGAAAGCAAAAAAAGGCAAAAAGAAACAGGGAAAGGAATAAGCGCGTTAAACTGAATAGCCCGTTAATAGATCCTCTTCTCGAAGAAGTCCAGTTTTTTAAAACTTAAACCATTAATGGAGGAGAGTCTTTAAAGCTGGGATAAATTAATGATAAGAGTCTCGAAAGTTGGGATAATAAATTTATGGGAATCTCTAAAGCTAGGATATAAAATTTTCGGGAGCCTTTTAAGCTGGGATAAAAAACCCTATCCCAGCTTAGGGATTTTTAAAGGGCATTTATCTTATAATATTTCTTTGGGGTTTTCGAGGGAAAGTTTCTGAAGCTGGGCGAGAAGAACCTATCTTGGAAATTCTTCGTAATAAAAGCAAAGCCGGTAGGCCCTCTGATACATATTTCCCTTATTTTTCTTTTTCTTTCTTTCTTTTTACAAGGAAACAAAAAGTAGAAAAAAAGTGACTATAACGGTTCAAAAAACAGGGGAAATACTGGAATATCTTGATTGAAAGAAAAAGAACCAAGGCTAAAATCATTATCAAAAATGAAAATGCAATAGCTACATAACAGATAGATCAAATATAAGGAATATATCATGGGAGAAAATAAAGAACGATACCTAAAGGACAGCTCCAAAATCAGGAATTTCAATTCATTATTGAAAAAAGAATAACGATAGCTAAAACACAAAGCCAAAAAATTTGGAAGCAGAGGGATTCGAACCCTCGCCTTCGGTGTCTGTCCGATTGAGCCGACCCTCTTTCAGTTCCTCACCGCTGTACTGGCCACTATACTATGCGTCCTTGCACTTGTTTTTGTTGTATTACTGTCACGGCCCTGGAAGTTGTGGCGGACACCTGACAGTGCCTGACAGGTGTTGTAGCAGAAGCGTTCTCAAAAGACCGGCTTTCTGCAGGAACATTGGAATTTCCTTCTTTTCTTCTTCACCTTGTTATCAATTAGACTACATCAATGTATTATACTGCAGCTCAGCCTCTTTGAATTATTGGTTCGTCACAATTACCATCACAGTAAACTAGAATAAGTAGCCTTACAGGTATTCCCACCCCTGCACTAAAAACCGAGACAGCTTATCACGCACAGATAGATCGAGATGGCGTCAACAAGGCTAAGAGGCTCTACCTCATATTTCCCGACGGCAACTTCAAAACAACAACAGCGTTGTAAACCCCAACCAATCAACAATCAAACAAAACAAAAGCAAACTTCAAAATTGGTATTATAAAACGCAACGACATTGAACCCTGTCAGCCCAACCCTCAGAAAAAAAAAAACTCTCAACCTCAAGCTCCTACACACACACAGTAACTCCCCTCACTGACCAGGCATATGCATCCCCTGCTTCCCCGTAGGCGCCTGATACCCCTGAGTAACAACATTAGACGTCATCCTCGCCTGAACTTCCTTCTCCTGCTGAATCAAAGCACAGCATAAGCACCAATAAGAAGTACAGCAATCGCTCGCGCCGCTTCCTTTGATTCCGAACGCTTCACGGATTTCTTGACGTTTAATCATTGCGTAGCTATTTCAACCTGTCAGTCACAAATTGGGAAGTGAATATGTATGAAGTAGACGTACATCCAACCACAACCGGTTGCACAGTTAATACCGGTAAAAATCATGCATTCTCCGTTAAAGGTATCGTAGCTTTGCATGCTGGGGTCTTTCATTCTAGTGGCGCTCTTGCCGACGACTAGGGAGAAGAAGAAAAATGTTAGTTGGACCGTGGACGGGAAAGGGATGGCTTTGAGGGGACGATGAAAAACATACGAATGCATGGACAGCAACAGCCTAGCATGCAGAGGTCACAAGGACCACAATCACAGAGCCCGTTGGACCATTCTTGGGTTTGAGTGGGTGGTGGTTGAACGGTTGCTGTCATTTGCTGTTGTTGTTGATAAACTGGGGGTTGTTGTTGCTGTTGCTGGTAGGCAGCTTGTGGTTGTTGGGGTTGTTGATACGCCATTGTAGATACCTAGCTATGCTGATGTATGTGTTGATGTGTAGGAGGAAGTTGTTATGTAACTGAGACACGATGGAATCGCGGATCAAGTTTACTCAATTGATCCAGATCCAGAGTCAAAACGTTGAAACCACGTTCCAGAAAATGGATAAAAAATGAAAAAGAAAGAAAAATCAATTTCACAGAGAAGAAAGCGGGGCATTCCCTTTTTCAAATTTGTTGAGAGTCTGTGGCCGCCGCATTTGGGAAGCAAAGCCAATCAATCTGCCCTGGCCGCCTTTTTTCTCCCCTAACTGTGTCACTTGAACACACATTTGGGATGAGAAAAAGCGCCATGACAAATATGAACCCGCAAAGGTTGCCCGTATTTCGTATCTCGGGGGCTATCCGTCTCTCTCCCAAGAACCAATCAATGCTTCGATCCAAGCCCGAAATGCCAACGGAATTGGCGTAGGGCTGAGCCCAATAGCGCATTTTTCTTTTCCTGCAACCGCTTTTTATTGGGGAAAGCCCAAGGAGCAAATAAGGGTCCAAACGTTGTGTAACCTTACACCGCCGCCAGGGAACTGCCACAGGAATCCCATCATCCTCTCGGATTATTTGGCTTATCTTTGTTCATTTCTGGACCGTCGTACAGCAGTGGTGTGGTGTGGCACACACATGAAGCAGATACGATAAACCCGAAACGAGGCTCTGGAACCCCCGGCAGTTCCCAAGATTAAGACAGAGTGTGATTGACAGTTCAGCCTCATCGCTAATCATTCCGCTTCGGGCCCCCTTGCATTCCTTAGTCCGAACCACCCTGGACAGTGTCGGACTTGCTGTTGTTTGATCCCAATAACAGCCCTCTCTGTTCGGTGAGTATCACGTGTACGGACCGTATGGCTTTCTCTCCTGAGACAATTTGTCTCTTCTACATCATTGGTATAAGAGGATTGTGTGTACGGAATACGCCGTAGTTATAATCTTGTCCCCTTCTACGGTATACATCATATTTCTGTCTATATCAACCTTCATCTCTAACGCATTCATGGTTCATGCATCTTGGCACCACCACATAAACGCTCTTGGTATTGAAAAAATGAAGCGTGACCAACGATCGGTGTCTCGGCATATGCAGCACAGGGGCAAGAGATCGTTGGCAATGCTTGGGCCTTGCTGGGTGTGATGAAATCTAAAGAAATAAAATGCCCTTAGAAAATACCGAAACTGGGATGTTTTTTCTACCCGAGCTCAAGAGACTCCCATGGTGGTTTGATCCCAGCTTTTTCTGTCTTTATCCCAACTTCTTCTGTCTCTTTTCCTATCTCTATCCCAGCTTTTTTCGTCTCTATCCCAGATTCAGAACCTCCCATTAATTCTTTATCAAAGATTTTCTTCCTCCCATCCAGAAATTTCTTCTTACTCTCTCCCTTTAGAGGCAATGCAAGAAGTGATATTACGAGAGGGCATTCATCCATTCAATCAAACACAAACCTACTACCTAGTGCAAAGACTGATAGAGGTGGCGAGTATTATCGAGTGGGATTGATGGTAACAGGAGTAAAAAAAAAATGATGACGATAACCCCGACCCTCATGCAATGCAAATATCTTTCCCCTTTTTTTCCGGTGTCTCCTTCTCATAATGTACACAGGGTTATTTATATACATAAATGACGGTAATACTACACAAAACAAAAGAGAAAAAAGTAAAAAAAAAATATATAAAAATTTTAACAACCAAGGCTTGCTGGACGCCACACAGCACTTCATGACCTGCTGAGACGTACCAACATAATTGTCACAGCGGCAGCAACGGCAGCCCCAGCAGCAGCACCCTCCAGCGCAATAACAGACAAATCGCGCACCTGCAGCGTTATCCTCCTGTCGCTGTAGAGATCCGCCAAATCTTCCTTCAAAAGCGTTGGATCCTCCCAGTATTCTTGAAGCATCTCCTTCCATGGCTTCTTGGGCAAGTCGTATTCGTAAACCGGCACTTGGTGCGTTTGGTGCTGCTCAGGAATTGGCTCTGCAGGATTTTGCTCCAATGGAAATGCCTGTTGTTGCTGTTCCTGCTGCTGTATCCTGTACGATTCCCTCTCCTGCTCTCTCAACGTGTTGGCAGTCTCTAGGGCAAGCCTGACGTCACTCAACTCCTGTCTGACCTCTTCAATGATCCCTTTCTCGCTCTCGGCAATGCCTTTGATCATACGCTTGCGTCTCCACGGTTCGGCAACGAATTGAAGAAGAACAAACAAGAAGAAGTTGACGCCCATGAGACCCCATGTACCCCAGGTGGACTGCCGCCTGATCCTGTCGCTCCAGATTTGTTCCTCATGATATCTGCGCAGTATTCCAGCGTTGAGATCGGCGGAAAGCTTGGATTCTTCAGTTTCGGCTTCTGTCAGTTCGGAGGAGGCGTTGGCGACTTGTGCTTCGAGCTCGTGATCCATTCGGTAAAGGGAGGTGAAGCGCTCGAGGTCGGTCGGGTTCCAAGTGTCCTTGCGGGCGAGGAGGGTGGTGACTTCACGTTGGGTGGAGGCGCGGTGCTGGGTAAGAGATTTATATGTTTGGCGGGCTTCTCGAAGGCGGGTTTGGGCGGCAGAGTGTTGTTGCTCGAGCTCGTGGTTGCGCGCTTTGATGGCTTCAATGGCGGAGTAGCCGGTTAGATCGTTGATGGTTTGTGTTGCGACGAGGACGCGGGATTGGAAATTGTCCATGAGAGTTGAGAAACGAGTGGAGAGACGGGTTCGGCGAGAGTCTGTCACGGAGGGAAGTTCGCCGGTTGGTTTGGAGGGGTTTGAATCGGGAGAGGAGGGCTCGGAAGATGGCGGCTCGGAGGATGACGGCGTTGGCTCTTCGGGAGACGTGGATGGCTCGGAAGAAGGGTTTTCTGCTGAGAATGAAGCGTCGACATCTTCGGTAGGGGATGGTTTTGGTTGTTGAGGTTCCTCGGGCAGAGGAGGGGTTGTGCTTGAGGGCGCATCTTGAGATTTTGGTTCCGGAGCGGGGTCGGAAGGCGGGGGACCAAGTTCAATTACTGTGTTGTTGCTGGTAGTCTCTTCAGTTGAAGATTGTGGTGATGCTGGTGGTCGTGGGTATCTTGGGGGAGGGCGCGCGGTAGAAAAAAACTGAGAGTGAGCGTAAATGCCGACATTAATGCCACGGCGATAACATGCCGGAGATGAGAGCTTCCTTGGGGCCAAATGGTCGATAATTGCGCCTCTTAAAGGTCGCACAGCTAGTCGCAACACTGCTTGAGGCGACATTGAGCTGGCAGCTCGAGCCAAATATGGCTTCCAGAAATTCAACTTTCCGAGTTGTCGGATGACTTGGAAGCTGATTCTCGGCTCAATTGGGTATCCATGGAACGGGGCATCATGTGGTGGTGGATGCTGTGGTGTTGTTCGCTTTCTGCCCCTCTGCTAATTCTCACCGCCTTCCATCGACAGAGGGTTGCACGACGTCATACCCTAACCCTGCTGTTTACACGCCGTATAGCCAGGGGTAAAAATGGGATAGAAAGGATAAAAGCTGAGATAATTTTTCATCCAAGCTTCATTCGTCTTTATCCTAGCTTAAGAGACCCCCATTATCTTTTCATGTCAATAGACTCTCACTAGGTAATTCACAGAAACAGGAAAGAAGCTACTCATTTCTCTTCCATTTTATTTCTCCCCTTCAAAACTTTCGCACCATCAAAGCAAGCATAAACAATTGACAATAGAAAAAAAGGATCCCCGGGTATGTGTGTACTTGTACTGTACAAAAACTTCCAAGCCAAACAGACACATACACAACAACACCAACACACACGCAACAAAACCATCAACAACGA